AGGACAAGATGATGAGCAGATGTTAAAGGCATTGTCTTGGGGGAAATGGACCATTTGTCAGACATCTATTTGTATAACCCTAATCATTTAATTTGCATTCTTACTTATGTGGGCTATATATATGCTCACATAACTCACAATGAATTTGGCGTTTCTTAGGCTGTCAGTCAGACACTTTGTACTACTTTTACTTCCAACGCCACCAAAAGACCATAGTGACTTTTTTTTTTTTTTAAACCAATATCCTTGATGACAGAAAAGCCCCTGGTACAAACATTTTGGCAAAACATCCTCATATACTTCCCTACACTCCTATGGCTATAGACTTTTCAATCCACTAAATTAAACATAACCCTCTTTCTTGCCTTATCATTCAATTAAGAGAAAATAAATGCTATTTTCTGTCATAAGCCATCTATTTTCTTTTCCACTATATTAACTAAAAAAGCTCAGAATCATCTGCGTTTTCTATGGCTATAATTATTTTCAATTTACACCATTACAACCACCCCGAAGCACTCAGTTACTCAGCATTTTCATAGCACATCTAGATTACAGCATTAAAATGATCTAAATATCTATTTCTCTCCTAGTCAAATTTTAGCTGCTTCCAGTGCCAAAAAACTAGATATAAGTACAGCTAAATCAGGTAATACTAGTGAGATATTTGTATARCAGTAGTGACAATAGTACAGCTCACAAACACAGACACAACACTGCTTGAAATCAAGACTTTTATCCCTGTCAAAATCAAAACTGCACTTGTTTTTCCCTCTAAAAGCTTTGGAATTTTAAAGGCAAAACTCACAAGCAAAATTGTTGATACTTTACAAATAAACTGCATGTTTTCACATTCAGGATCCCAAAATACTCTACGGAAAGCATATGGAGCCCCCCATGCTTCCAAGAAAAACAGATAAGTTATCTGTCACAGAGAAGAGCAAAGCTGGACAAAATTAAGATCACTAGCTCAAAGGCACTCAAAGTAAAAATGCCATTGAGGAATACAAATTACTCCGATAAAACACGAAGTTTCCAAGCAGTACCACTGAAATTATGGGATTATTCAAGAGTTTTAGAGCGACTACACACACAGAAATACTTTGAGTCCGCTTCACAACACAAAAACAATAGCTCATCCTGCCTCCAGAGGAAAAGGCAGCACGGTAACTAGTGTCGCATTTGGAGCTTTCCCTTACACTTAAACAGATACACAGAGGAGTGTCCTTATACAACTGCTCTCCTTCAGTGCTAAGTTTGCCACACCTGAAAGTAGAAGCTCTCAGAAGCTCAGAAACCTTTTTCTTCAGTCACCACAGAAACTCATAGAGGAACTCTGGGGATTTGTTCTCCTGTTTTAAGCAGGGCATTTACATATGAATTACACACCAAATTCCTTTAGTCTCATAAACTGCTCTGGACTTCCACGAAGTAAATACTGCTTCTTCACTATCATCCTCATCTTGCTATTCTTTGTTCTCTTAACAAAAAGAGTTGTATCTCTTAAAACATCAAGTATAGTGGCAAACCCATCTTTTGCTTTTGTGTCTTCACGCAAAAATAACGATTTGGAAATAAAAACTTACATTTCAGGAGATTCTGGATTCCTCAGTTTTCTGCCAGACAGGGCTGCTTGTTAGCCAGCTGCCATATGTGAGTATTAATGCAGTGATATGTGCTGGTCAAGAAAACATCTGATGCAATTCAGCTGATTCTCAAAGACATATAGCACTGCATGTAAGAGCCTACAGAAGTGGCTGTTGTTAAGGGCTGGGCTGCAAGACCCAAATACCAAATTGTTTCCTATTACTATCAATCATTGCCAATTAAAAAATAAACAAACATATACCGGGGCTAAAAGCAATGCCAGAGTTACTTTGGTGTTTCCCACCATGGAATACAATGCAAATATTGTTTCGTGCTCAGAGGCGCAAATGCAAACATTTCACAACCGCATCATCTGTAGGAAATCAAAACAGTCCTTACCTTGCTTAAGTCTGTGTTTTTAGTAAAAAAGCCATGCTACTCCAGCCCAAGGTGGCAGGAAACGTGCCATCTTCTCTCAGCACAGCTTTCCAAATACCCCAGTGTTCAGCTAAGTCTAACTTTGCTCTGTTTTGTTTTCACAAGAGGACCCATTCAGCACCATGTGCTCCTTTTCAGCTGTCAATAAACAGAAGCAGTGAATTCCCCGGGGCTTCACAAAGCTAGTTAGGCACAGCCATTCATTTCTCCAGGAAAACAGGGCATTGATTTCAGAGAATTCCCAGGGAGCAGCTCCAACAAAGAGATCAAAGACCCACCTCCGCTCCTGCTCCGCTTTCGGACCGCCTGGCCGGGATGCACAGCGACAGGTTGCCCCAGGACGGGGCTCGAGCCCCCGGACCACCTCGCGCTCCATTCACGCTCATCTGCTTCCTACACCCCAGGGACAGCCCCCGGCGCGAACCATGACAAACCCCGGCATTCAGGCAGCATAATATACTGCACGCTAGTTCATCCGAGGATAAAAAGAAAAACAAGCTCTGAGGGAAGTCCGGCGCTTCCCTCCTCTGTGGAGCCTCAAGAAGTGCCAGACATTTTATAAACTTCTCCSTTTTTCTTTCCCCGCCTTAGTTTCTCCATCGAAAACAGAGAAATACCGTCTGTCTCCAATTCATCATGCTGAACTTCACTGAGATGTTGGCTTTTTTGCTTCATTTCGCAGGCTTGAAGACACAGCTACTGAAGTCTGAGGTGCAGCCAGGGCAGTCCATGTTTTCTGTCGCTGTGAAATTCTCTTTGTGTAATTCACACTGGACTACAGCATTTTTTTCCCTACAGTTCTARGGTTCTTGCTTCGTTTTGGTTAGATTTTTTTTTCTTTTTAATATAAATCTAGTCCTCATTAGTTTGACCTGGAACAACATTTCTAATCCTAGAATTTGACCTTGTATTGAACTAAGCATTAATGCAAGAGGGTGCTGTGGTTAAGGCTGGGGACTGAGTGCTTAGGTCTCTACCACCAAATAATAYGGGCCAGAAACTTTTACTGTCACTGAGACAACCAAGTCCATATGTCTAAACAATTCTCTCCTTCCTCCGCTTCTGTCCACTGAGCTTCTTAAAGGCACTACCTGTTTGTCATAAACCCACATGCACATGTATTCCCACCAGTGGGAACCTGGAATATCCCTTGAGCACTGGTGCTGCTTTGCATTATTCGCATGTGGGAAGAAGATCCTACCTATCCTGCTGGTAGGACCAAGCATTACACTACTTGCCAAAGCACAAGCAGTACCACACCGAAGACCAAAGATGTGCTGCACCACAGTGGTAGGGAAAACTGACTTATTGCATCAAAGACACTGAGAACATGAGGAACTGTGCAGAATCATGGAGTCACAGAAAAAAAAAGCTGGAAAGTATTTCTGGAGACCATCTGGTCCAACCTTCTGTGAAAGCAGGGTCTTATTCAGTGCTATGTTAAACCAAGCCTTGAATATATATTCTGCCACTTCTCTGGGCAGCTTATTTCTATGTTTAGCTGACATCACATAATTTTTTCTTGTATCTAGACAGAATTTCCCCTGAAGGAACTTATGGCCATTGCCTGATATCCTATTCTGTCTCCAAGCATCTGGTGAAGGAGGACATCCACTGTCCCAGTAACTACCATTTAGGGATTGGAAGAACCATGACTCTCTCCACATGAACGTTCTCTTCTTCAGGCTGAACAAAGGCAATTCCTTCAAACTTTCTTCAAACATCAAGTTTCTTAACCCAGGAATTATTAGGAAAAGTGTGAAAAAGACACTGATGCTGAGATGAAGACAGCAAAATGAGAGTGCTAGAACATAAATTAGCTAAAAACAGCTGACCTAGCTTAAAAGTCTGAGCAGAATTGAGGAGTTGCAACTAACTGATTTTGACCAGGACAACTGTCCAGTCATCTTACCCTCTCTCCTTTCCTTAGCATTTCAGTCTTTGACAGTGATTCTCCTTGATGACGCTGTCAGGCATATTGCAATCTTCATGTGTCTTTTTTTAAGAGTTCTCTCTGTAACTTCAAAACACTTGAACGTGCCCCCAAATTGCTACCAGGTAGATAAAAACAGAAAAACTTAGTGTTTTAGTCTCAATAAAACTTAGTTTCAATAACTTAGTGTTGAAATAGGTATATGTCCTCCACAAATAGCTCTTTTTTGCTAGTCAGCCACTAACCTTTTTATTATCTGATTATATAGCTATTGATATAGTTTTCTTTGTTCCTCTCAGGACATATCAGAGACAATAATGTGGGTTTCCACAATTCCCCTCTTATTCCGCACAGTAGGTGGCTGAACATCAATGATAAGGCTGAAGGCAATGATTAAAAAAATAAAAGGAAACTGAGGCACTGGACAGATTCCAAAAGAACGTATCTAGATTAGACCTAGCACTTGGTGTTTCAGTGATTGTAAGCTGGAACAAGAAATTGTAAGTACCAAGGATGCTATGGAGGTAGGTTTTTGCAGTAGCTGTGACAACGAAATATAATATATGCTGTTTGTATATTCTTTGATCTTGAAAAAAAAAAGAAAAAAAGATGGACAAAAACAATGAGAAGTGAGATGTGGATGTAGCTTGGATAATGATGTTTCGGTAACACAAGAGTTAAATTCATACAGAGATTTTTAAAAAAAATCACTCAGTAATAATCTTGGATGTTATTTGCGTGAAAGATAGATAAAACACTCTAGACAAAATTGTGATTTTTAAAGTCTCAATGAATCAGTCTGTTCTTACATTATTCATGGGCCAGATTTTTACAATTTTACTTGTATTAAGTCATGACTTACTCCAAGAATAATCCCATTGATTATAATGGTAATATTGTTCCACAGATGTTTCCGAAGAAAAGCAAATGTAAAAGCAGACTTTACATTTAAGATAAAAGACATCAATCATGAGCACATCTGGGAATTTGATAAAAACACATGGTCCAAAAAACCACTATGGGATGGTAGAAATGTACTTACATAGCAGGTCTGTGGACATGTTTACAGATCAGGCAAAGGAAACCTACATAAAATRAATGAAAAAGAACAATCAGTTTTCTGATTTGTCACATTTAAACTCCAAGTTAGGTATCAGGCACATATCTTTTTTGTTCTTTAAGTTCTTTAAATGGAGAGTACGTATCTAGAGAAATTTAACACGGAAGAAGTCTTTTTTATTCAGAGGAAAGAGTAAATCTGCCTATTTTTTATTTAAGATATTGACCCTTATAATGGTTAGTAAGCTACTTCCAAATTGCCTGGAGAAACTTAGGGAGGAGGAGGAGGATGGAAGAAGGCAATGAAGATGAGACGACAAGAAAAATGGATGTTGAAGAAAAATAATCAAGGAGGAAACAGCCTCAAGGGGAGTCAAGAAGTGGTAAGTACGGAATGCAGAGAAGAAGAGGTGCAGAGAAGTCAGCAGCTTGCTGGTGAGGATATGCCAAAAAAAAAAAAAAAAAAAAAAAAAAAAAAAAAAGTTGTGACTTTGCTGGATTGCTCATGAGTGAGATGAGGAACCTGTGACTCCACTGTCTGCTGCCACTTAAGGGCAGACTGAAGTACAGAAGACAAAGTCTTGGTGACTCCTGGTATCTGAGTGATAAGCATCTAAGTTGGAGGCTTTAGCTTGAGGATGTGCAATTTGTCCCTTGATATAAAAGGGAAATACATAAATGGTAAACAAATGATATAAATGATAAACCTTCTCCCTACAGTTTACTCAGTAATGACATAAATACAGCTCATCACTGAGCAAAATAATGAGTAGGATGATTATCAACTGATACGCTTCTGTGTCTCCATTTATAAGCACTCATAGACCTCAACCAAAGACCATGATACATGTAGTAAATCACATTTGCTATCTTATCACGTGTCTAATTACAAAATAACATATAATCACAATATAACCAATATGGATGAAAGCACAGTCAATTCTAGYACAACGGACATTACACAAAGAAAATATACTTCATAGATGCTTCAAACTGTAGGAGCTGGAAGAGTTTTGGTATCAAAATCTAAAGARCTTCTTGGTCTTCCTACATGCTTAAAATATTTCTTTCAGATCTATACTGCCTTCACGAAAGAGCAGACAAGTGCATGCTTTGCATTTTAAAAAGTAACTGCTTGGGAGAGGGGGCAGAGAGGGGCAGCTGAAAGGYAGGCTGCAGTCTTCATTGCAGAAACTTCAGGGTTTCAGTACAAAGCCAAAAAGCCTGCCGTCGCATTTGGGCTGCACACACTTCCTGATATTCAAGGCATAAAACCAGTACTGGGCAGCTATGAGAGACCGTCAGCAGGGAAGACACTACAAGCAAAGACACTTTGATTGCTCACACATACCCAGCTGGTGCCTCTTGAYATCCCCTGGGATATCTGAAGAATGCACACGAGGCAAAAGGATGCAATACTGGTTGTACAGGAAAACGGCTGCCTCCTGGACCAGGAGCTAGGTGCAGGCAGGACTATCCAGGCATCTCAATCAGCACTAGAAGTTTATGTTTAAACAAATGAATCAGGTTTTATGGTAGCGCATTTTGGGTCTGTTTTTATAAGCAGCCAGGCAGAAGACATCAAGGATGCTGGTACATCATTTCTGCCTGAGATCAAGGACAAAGCTGAACATGAAGAGTGCCAGCCCATCAACTTCTGTAATCACTGCCCACTACTAAAACAGTGAACATGCAGCTTAGTAAACCCTAGACTTGGTCTCAGACTGGGACTATGTGCATATATGCAACAGAAACAGTACAGGTGTAGGCATACTAAAGACAGAAACGGGACTTTTTTTTTTCCTGGGGAAAAAAGCTATGCTGAGATCAGACTTGTAAGCAGCAAATATTTTAGCCTGGTATCAATCAGAAAACAATTTCAAGTTGTAAAAAACTACTACGCAGCTTGCCTCCACTCTGGCCACTTGTTTGTGGTATTAATTTCTATGAGCTGCAGTCTTGCAGAGGGAACAGTGGGCTCTAACGGCATCCATATGTGGTTGTACACATGCCAACCCTCTCATTCCCAAACACAGCAGGCCACATGTTGTCACTGTCGAAGAGTGTCACAAACTACTAGAAATTTCATCCCTTGCCTAAACTACTMGGCAAAATTATTTAATACTCAAGCATTCAGTTTACAGAGCAATTACCTGGTAAAGCATCACATACAAGTTCTCTCCTTTCATATCGTTTGTGTCAGCAGTTCATCCTACCACACCTGGTTTGCAGCAATCACTGGGCAGGAAGAAGTTCAACCTCAGCCCATCCATTCTTCAAGCATCTGCCATCCTGCATGCTGTCCATGCATTTAATCCATTTACATTTTGGTTGAACCATTCTACTGAACCATCTATTTTGATGCTGGTGCGGAGAGAGGAGAAGAACATATATACACCTCCCTGGAACAGTAGACCTTTCCTCCTGGCATAAGGACGGTCATAGCTCAGAGTGGTACCAGAGGCTCTGAGCAGTGTTCTCTATTTATCACCACCAGAGGTGCCCTGGTGTTGTTTCTCCCAGAGCAGAGCTCATAGCATGCCACATGAACCTACTGAGAACAGGGGAAGCAGAAGTATTTCACAGCAACAGGCACGCTGGAGTAGGGAGGAGAGGTAGAGATCCGAATTGGTTAGACCACCCCAGCAGCACACAAATCCGGACCACTCTTAGAGCTGGGAGAAAACCAGCATGGCACGGCACGACACTTCACTGCACTCAAAATGCTCATCTGCTGCCGGGGCAGGAGGAGAAACTAGAAGCATGAGGAGGTCCTCCCTTCGCTCTTTACTCACAGTCAGCTACAAAAGAACTCAGCAGCGCTRTTGCATACGTTATCTCTTCCTTTCCCTCCCCTTTGTCCATAATGAAAAGACTCCTTTCTTCGATCTGAGGCCAACAGATCAGTCTCCTGATGCTGCCATCTACCAACTGTTCCACACGGCATGCAAAGGCCACAAGACGCAGGCCACCCTTACACACACCTTTGCTTCTAACACTCCAATTAGAAGATAATCAAAGGAACAAGATTCTGCTGCCAAACAATTTGTCCCTGAGAATGAAGACACTATGAAGAGCATAACCAGGCACTGCTGTGTGAGGGCCCATAACCACGGGTCCTCAAAGACTGAGAAACTTTCTTTTTTCTTCCCTACAGCAACCCCCATAACACCTATGTCCAGCACTTGGACTACAGACAAAGAGAGAAGATGTCCTTAAGGGCATCCCAAATCACTGCTACACAGGCCGCAGAAGCCACGTGGAAAACAACAGAACAGCAGCCTCACGGACACCAGGAACTCCTCCTACTCCTCTTCTAGCAGTCAGCCAGCGTGTCATCTTCAATGGAGARAGAACAGCCACAGCTGTATTTGCGGAGGCAAGGGAGCGTAAGCAGAGCTAAGAGCTCCTTCATAACCTGTTCCAGCTCCTCCCTGTAGTTACCTTCAACACGGGCCCAGGATTTCCTCTCCTCCTAGCTGCAGAAAACCACCACCACATGCACCCCCCGGCTTCCAGGCCAGCCTTCTGGTGAGCGAAGGCAGGTCTTGCCCCCAGTTTTGTGGGGGGGATGCAAAGAGATGCAGAAAGGCACATGCAGAGTCACGCATAAGTGCAGCCACTTCTGCTGCGCCAACCAGGCACAGTGCCTGGAGGTTTCTGGCCACACTGGCCACTTGTCAATCTAAACTCAGGTGGTTGGCCACTGGCCATGTTGGCCTCTGTTTAACAGCCCCATTGGCTTCTGTATTTTTCTCCATTTTTATTTTAAACCACATTGGTCTTTATATGAAGCACTGTTTGCTTCTAAACATTTGTCATTCTCATCAGTGGACAGGCAAGAGGAGGAGGAAGAAAGTGGTGATAATTCCCACAAATCGAAATTACAATTCTGACAATTAATTTGAGGCAAAGATTTCTGGGGCATATTAGGCTTTTAGTTATCAGGAAATTAGCTTATGTATTCAAGATGATTAGCACTAGATGGGATAAGTATAACAGATGGTTGACATCATTTACAGGTAGTAAAGCAGTGATTACAGGCACTCACTGAAGGAGGAAAAGTTCAGTGTCTCGTGGTAGGGAAAGGGGGTTACGCATCCGTAAGAGGCAGTGAGGAAATTTCTGCACTATCTGTGAAGCAGAGGGGGATGCTGTAGAGGATGTTTGCGTAGGAACCAGGTAACAGGCTTTTAGGTTTTCGATTTTCTTCCTTAGTTGTTCCACCATTCTTACAAGTATGGATGTCACGCATATTATGTTGTAGAAATGACTGTAGTGGGCACACTGCGGACGTGTTCGGCTTGGGGTGGATACATATTGCAGCTGTGGGAGAACCTTGGGATTTCCACAGTCCTCTGTGGGAAAAGGGAATGTCTGCTAATTCCTTTGTTCTGATGTGGATGATACAGAAGTAAGGAAATCAGCTAGAGAGTTTCCGGTAATGATCCATGAGGACAGGGGCCATGCTGCAACAGAGAGAAGGGGATCCCCACAAATAAATGCGCAGCAGGTGAGACCAGTCTGCCCAGGACCTCTGAGAAAGCTCATGATGTGCCAGACAGATGTGAAGGCTGTGAATGATGGCCTTGCTAACCACCTTGCTAACCASAGATGTTCCCAAATGGCTGAAGACTGACAGGCAGCATGAGAGGCAGCAAAGGCAGAATCCAGCTGCAGTTTCTGAACGCAGCTCTCATCCAAAATCCTCTACCCACTGCAGGTTACTGCAGATTTTTAGGAAGATGATACAGTCTCACCAGTTGGCCATTGCTTCTCTGGCCCTGAACCTCTTCTTGAGGAGGCAGGAAGCTCACTGCAAGACAGGTCAAGAAATAGCCCCAAAAGGGACGCTCACATATCCTGCCTGCAATGCTACAGCATTCTCAAACTGATACTGCTCACACTGTGAGAAACAGTGTGTCAGGGCTCCTCCGTTCACCTGATGCTCTTCCGGAAGACATGCATCTACATTCACTGACATTATTGTCCAGAGAGCAAGAGGAAAAGCAAGCACAGATGTGGAAA